GGCCACGTCGCACTCAGCCAGCAGTGTCCGGTTGCTGGAGGCGGCAAGTGCGTTGCCGCAGTAGCACTCGCGGCCGAACTCGGTGCCGAAGTAGTGGTAGTTCTGGCAGAAGTCGGCGCAAGACTCGAGCGTTACGTTGCCCGCCATGGCCCTTGCACCCAGAGCCCGCCTGCCTTTTCCTTCTGTCCAGCAGCCTTCAAAGGCATAGCTAGCGACAGTCGGCTTGTGGGACGGGGTCAACGTAGGTATTGCAACCGTGGAGGTGGGTGGTGGGGGGTTTATCAGCCTATACATCTCGAGTCTGTTGCCCGCACCGCAGTACTCTGTCTCGTCTCCCGCGCACGGCATGTAACATTCCGAGTCATCCGTTGCGTTGCTTCGCCGGTCGATCGAGTTACCGCAGTAGCATTCACGGCCGTACTCAGCGGCGAAGTAAGTGAAGCCGTCGCAGCTCCTCGCGCACAGCTCCAGAGTCATGGCTTCGTTCGGGAAGCTCCCTCCGGTAAGCGCACGGGACGGCAGCTCTTCATAGCAGCCAATGCGCAGATAAGGGGTAACAGTCGGTTTGGGTGCCAACGTCCCAGTCTGGGTCGGGATCGTGCCAGTGGTGATATACAGTTCCACCCTATTTCCAGCACCGCAGTACTCCGTTGCGTCGCCTGAGCAGGCAACATTGCACTCGGTAAGGGTGGTGTTCGTGCTGTTCGTATGCACCGAGTTACCGCAATAACCTGCGAGATATTGAGTTAGAAAGGTTTGGTCCTCAAGCCTATATCTATGTCCCCGGCGACTCGAACGATAGCAACTCACATTCCCGTCCGTATTCAGTGCCCCAGTAATAAAATCCCGTACAGTTCTTCATGCAGCTCTCCAGAGTCATTCCATCGTACACATAGCTGGTGTCACCTAATGCCCGAATACCCGGGATTGTCGGCTCTGTCTGGCAACCAACCAGCGTATAGTTACCCACAGCCTGGCGATGATGCAAAGTCTCCGTCGGGACAGCACTGGTGACCGTCACGGTCGGTGTGGGCGACGTCGCTGGCGGGCCTGGGTCTGCAACACCTGAGCAAAGGGATGCCGGCGGGGCACTGAATGCGACGCACTGGGCTCCTATATCACTTGCTGCCTTGAATTCGTCTCGAAGGGCTTTGGTGCCGGTACCACTTACTACGTCCATCTTCGTAGCATAAGCAAGGTCTCCGAGGCCATCGTAGGTGGCAGTGTAGAAGGTATAAGAGCCAACACAGTCACCCTTTTCCATCGCCATGCTGTCTTCAGACAATGTGGGCACCGGACGGTTCGGGTCCCCAACCGGTGTCTTGTAGGAGATACGCATGTTTACCGGCAGGGCGTTAAGGTCGTTGCGAACCTAATTCGATGTCAATGCGCTGTAGATGGGCCCTCGTGTCTAGCGAAAACTCACAGCCGCCACTACTTGCAACTTGCCGTTGAGGAGACAGCTTTGGGGCTTCTGCAGGAGGATGCCATCCTGCATCGGGTATGCTCCGCCATTGTTGTCATAGGCTACCGAAGTCCCGCTCGCCATATTGACTTTCAGCGTAAAGGACGATATGCCCGTGGACACGGGGATCTCCAGGTCGATAGGGAACCACTAAGTCTCGTCAGTGTGTGCGCGTCTCTCACGGCAGGCCAGCGCCGCTCGCTGTCAGCTCACCACAAACGTGTCGTCAAAGCCCTCGCTAGCACCGAGGAGTTGTGCTGTATACGAACATCCGGTAGCACCACAGTTGTTACCGCTAGTGCGATCCTTGTAGGTCAACGTGACACTCTTGGCGTTGTCAGTGTCGAAGTCAGTAGACCGGACCCGGATGAACCCCGACAGTTGCACAGTCCTTGCCGCGGCGTTCAACGTGAGCTGCATGTCGACGGGCTTGACATTGTAGGGCTGGATTGGGTCGGTAAGCACGACGCCATCCGGGACGACCTCGATCATCTTGCGCAGCACCGTGGCGCAGACGTTGCCGTACGTTGCCGGGTCTGTCAAAGCCTTCACCGTCATGTTTCCGTCCGAGTTGAACACCTTGAAGTCCGAGTTCCTCGTAGCCCGGACAGAGGGCCCAACAACCATTGGGTTCGTCGTGTTTCCCGCTATGTACTCGGTGACGACCTTGTTGTCGAACATATCGACGGTCGAGTCGGTGGCCTTCAAACCGTTCGCTGTGCTGCCGACGGGAACGATCTGAGGAAATTCCGTCTCGTGCACGCCACCGATCGAGTGGCCACACGCAACGGCCTGGATCATCTCGGTCTGGCTGAAGCCCATGCGTGCGAACTGCTGCTGGAACGTGAAAGCCGAGTTCTGTGGCAGAGGCACGCCGATGGGGCCGGCGGTTTTGGCGTCCACCCGCCCACCTGCGACCGGCACCACCGGCCCACTGCAGGACCGTACGGCGTAGTACACGCCAAGAGCAAGGAGGTCAGCTACGCTCGATCTGCTCGTGTAGTAGTCGGCCATGAATTTGAGCGTCGTGTTGAACGCCGGGCCGATGTTGTCCGAGCTCGTCAGCTCATACTGCAACGAGCCGTCCAACCCACCTTGTCTCGGGCCCCCAGCAATGGTGGTCGTTGCCATATCTACGATATTGTTATTTATGACTTGTCGGCAATCGACCTAGAAGTTCGTCGGCACTCACCATGGAAGGCGGCCCGTAACCATGCCGCGGCATTGAGACGGCCCGGTCCTGCAGCTTCACTCGAACAAGGTATAACCGTCCCACCAAACTGCCGCGAGCGGTAGCCCTTGACCTGGTACATGATCTCTTCCAGTTCGTCGACTTGAGACGGCCATGTCGGATCAGCTTGCACCAGTGTACTCAACCCGAGCACCGTCAACAGAAAGCACGCTTCCCACCACATCGCGAGGCCTCAAAATGAGAAGTGAAACGATGCAGTATTAGATATTATAGTATTAACCTAGTGAGATCCTAGATTTTGTTCGGTAGCTCATCGCAGCTCAATCCGGTAACGGGAACAAAAACAAGAGACGAATAGTATGCGACGTCGAGGTGAGAGGAAATATTTCAAGGAGTAGACGCCATGTTCGCATACCCACCACGCCATGCCTGTCAGAACACTCTCCTTCCCCGTTGTACATAATGGGCATTGCACGCACCACCGTTGTTGCGATGCTGTGTATTTGTGAAGGAGGGTTGTCGGCCCAGATTCCAGAACAATGTCAGCCAAGACAGCGCCGAGCCCCAGTCAGGTACCAATGTACAGTCTTAGTGTAGATGGAATACGAGATTCGAGGAATGCGTAGAATAGAGTGGTGCGGGATTGGACGAAAGAGATCTCCGAGCCCGCCAGCCGCAGAGGCGGTGGATCAGGTGTGGAATCCTCTTGTTGGAGCTGAGGGGATGCTACGTGGTGCTTACACGTAACCTAGAACAAAAGTTGGGAAATGCGAGTAATAAAAGGGAGAATAATCAGACGACAAGACGGGGGGTGGTCCAATATCTACTCGGTGATCGACACATGGGCCGGCTAGGATCTATCTAGATACGGCACCTGCCGAAATATTTAGGTTAAGCCTTAGATAGATCCTCCCCAGGCCACACCAAAGTGAACCTTGGTCGTGAAATTTATATATTGACCCAGACAAATATCACGTTGGATTGGATTTGCAATAGTTCGAATTTTGCCTCTCATAAACGAGAGGAGGAGAACGGTACCCAGGGATTCTAACGTATCATGTGCGAAGGGTCGATGGTCACTGAGCTGCTGCGATTAGGGGGCGCATTTCGTGCTCCCTACCTCTTGATAATAACCTGCGATGGCTTTTACTCGGGGTGCGCTTGACCTGTCAGCTAATTAACTTGCATTCCACCTGATCACCCCCTGTATCCCGATTGCAGGCTCGCTCGCTTATTCGAGGCAGGCAGTTTTTTACTGGTCGATCTCGGTGCCATTCTTTGGCTGCAGGGACTTCCTTCGCCGTCCTCAGCTAATTTTGAGGTTGTTTCCATTGTGGTGAATAAATGCGATCTCAAGCTGGTAGATGATACGACAAACCAGAGTGCACTGAAGATCGATGGCCTGTCAAATCCACAGCGCCCGTCGAGTGCCTTGATCTGGACTTCCTAACCTAGCCGTTCGTCTTCCCGAGATTAGTAGGTTAGGTAGAAACTAGATACCAGCATTGCAGTCAATGGGCAAGGTACACTTGAGCTGGCTGACAACGAAATATTTATGCGGCTGAGCCTCGCGGTACTGGCTAACCTAGCCACGATGCTCATAAGCCAACTAGAACGGGACGCTTGTGAGATCTTCGCTCACTGTGACACAGATGCCCGACATCCAGGCGGCTGTGTCCCTCCACATAGTCCATTATATCTGTCGGAAATACACTTGGAGGCATGGCGTCGTCTCGGCTCTGGCTATCAATAGAGAGGCAAACGCCGGCAACTCTACACCTGGTGTGATACCGATTTGTTCCCCGATCAGGCCCTCGCCCTGAGCAAAGTGTATCTTCTTCTTTTTTTTTTTTTTTACGCTCACCGACCATGGTGGGATGTGGGCTGCGGTGGCATAGGACATCATAGTACATACCCGGACCTATTCGGTTCTGCGCAGTTACATCGTCGTTATATCCTCTATATCGAGAGGCTTCGACAGCTGATATATTGGTGTATCCCCAAGGTCAATATGACCCAGGTAATCTGTTTCGGGGCTGAGCTGAGCTTGCCCATTGCGCACTTCCCAATGATCCATGCGGGCACGTGTGCAAGAATTTTATTCTTACTTGTGTTGCTTCTGGACTCTGCTTGGGTTTGGAAGGTAAAGGTCATATAACAAAATAATAAAACACATCATACAGAAATTACTGCAATATAATGAATGGTTATCGTGATTAATGCTGCTGCCTCACCAAAAAAAGGACCAAGATTCTGGTCAAACTGGTGGTGGGATAATCTTGTTGTCGGTACTATCTAGTGACGAGAAGGGAGGATTTAAAAAAATGCAAAAATATGAACATTCTCCGAATCGGGGAATCGAACCCCGGGCTTGACGGCACATGTTCGTTGTTGCACGAAACATGAGAGCGTCAAATGTTAGCCACTACACCAATTCGGATTGATTGGTACTTCAGACTTTTACCTTTTATTATATTGACTGGCACGCAATGCCATTGCCTGTCACAACAGCAAGAGATTTTGCATTTATTTGTACTGCCATCTGCTGTACGGCAATATGCACTTAAGGTAGTATTAAATGCATCTGATCATTACTGGTCTATCTGTTTGGCTTCTAATAGAATTTGTGACTCGAGGCAGGCTTTTGATTCCACATTCATTCACCTACTAGTAGCTTTGCTGTAAGGACATGCATGTGGTAAAAGTCCCAGTATCTACTGCTATATGCTGTACCTCCACCCGCATAATCGGTATTTGCAGCGGCTTCTCTAATTGCGTGAATGTTTACACAGTACTAGAGCAAAGTAACTCATCAGTCAAAAGTCTTGTTTGTGACAGTTTGGAGAAGCATGGGGGTTAACTTCGGGGCAACATAGGGTACCTGAACAAAGTCTCTCAGTTACATCAATACAGCAGATACAGGTACCACGTGCGTTTCTCCTTACTGTGTGCCCATCTTGAAGCTCTGTAAATAGTAGATGCTAACGTAACCTCCTCCAACACTACCAAATCGTTAGGTTAAGTCATAGAACACTTGCATCCCCAGGTCACATACCTATCCCTCTTTACAGCAGATACTCCGAGTCAGATAACACCATAAATTCTACCAAGTCATCAATAAAGCGCCGTACTTTAACCGCTGGCATAGATGTCCATCGAGAACCTCAAGTCTTTTGGTTAGTTGACCCAAGCACTAAAGGAGTACCTCCTCATCAGTGGCATTTCCGCCCCGCTAATCGGTGTCTACGCCCAGATCCCTTCCACGATGCTGAGGCAGATGAGGTCACCAGCATCGTAAAGAGTCAACAAGAAGATTACGTTCACATCCGTATCCAGCGTAAGTAGCTTCAGCTTTGCCATACTTGTAGCCATTTGCTCTTCCCGCTCGGTCGTGCCATGCTGTTGACTAACTGGTACAGAACGCAATGGTCGCAAGACTCTAACCACCGTCCAAGGCTTGCCTAAGAAATTTGATCAGAAGAAGATCCTCACTGTCGCCAAGAAGAAGTTCGCCTGTAATGGCACCGTAGTGACAGACAGTAAGATGGGCGAAGTTATTCAGCTTCAAGGCGATCAACGCAAGGCTATGCGTACGTATTAATGACTTGGTCAACTATCCGCCTACCCGGGCTAGTGACGGTCAAGCTAACAACATACAGAGGAATTCCTGACCGCCAAAGACGGACTAGAGCTTGATGGAAAGAAAATCAAGGTCCACGGTTTCTAGTCGGAATTCAGCAAGCACACATCACGGGCACCACATCACTTGTAGCATCCTATGGGGCCGGGACCAAGGCATATCTGCTTTGGTAGCAACAAGATTCGAACCTTGTTCGCATTTGTGATGGCCATGAACTTAGTTTAAGGGCTTCGCAGCAGTTGAGAGAGTAAGAGAGCATTGATTACACCTAGGACTTGATGATGGATCCTAAATGTCCCGGTGCAGAATCTCATAAGTTTGCGCATGCTTAGGTATTTCGCCTCGTGACACTTTATGTCGACACTAGCGGCTTGTTCTCATGATAGATCTTATGGCCAGCCTACAGATTTGTCACACTAGCTGTGGTAGCATTTGTCCTGGAAGCGATTGCTCACAGGTTTTCCATGTATCTTCAGTAGGATGCTATGTTGAGGGGGCAGGCAGGGACGGCCATGGTCTTCTGGTAAAATGTGACCTGGCGTGGCTGGCTCCTGATATCTTGTACTGTACAGTGCAGCAGTAGACTAGAGCCCACCATACTGTGCATAAAGTACCGTGTCAAGAAGCCTAAGCCACTTGCGGTGAGGTGTAAAGCTGACGGGCCGATGGAGCTCTCTGACAGCAGGCAGCAACATAGAAGCCGAACGCATTAGCCCTCCACTCCCACAAAGAAAATTAATTGCGGAACCTTGTCTGCAATTTTCGACTTGCCAATTCATCACCCAATACCGCCAGCCATCCACCCCCGAGTCGAGGTACGCATACCAAACCCGAAATTTTCGAATTGGGCTTCGACCTGCTCAATTTCGCCTTGTCCAGTTCCCGGCTTTTTACTAACCCACAGGTATCATTTAGCCCAACGACTTCACGATGGCCTCCAGACCGACCGTATCGATCATCGGCAAAGATGGCACTCCCTCGGGAGCTACCCATCCTATCCCCGCCGTCTTTGCCTCTCCCATCCGACCCGATATCGTCCAGCAGGTTCACACCGGCATGGCCAAGAACAAGCGCCAGCCCTACTCCGTGAGCGAGAAGGCCGGTCACCAGACGTCTGCTGAGTCTTGGGGAACTGGTCAGTCGCCCCAGCTTCGTTCATTGAAAATTCGTGAAAATTGGATGGATGGGATCCGGAACAAGATACACTCATGTGGAACGGGAAGGATCGCTTGGGGGAAACCAAACAAAATTGGAACAGAAATGCTGACATGATGCGTTCAGGTCGCGCTGTTGCCCGTATCCCTCGTGTCTCTGGTGGTGGTACTCACCGTGCTGGTCAGGCCGCTTTCGGTAACATGTGCCGATCCGGTCGCATGTTCGCCCCTACCAAGATCTGGCGCAAGTGGCACGTCAAGATCAACCAGGGTCAGAAGTGAGTACCGGATGCTGTACACGATTCTCAGACAAGTAGACTAATGCTGGAGAAGGCGATTCGCTACCGCTTCCGCCCTGGCTGCTTCTGCTGTTGCCCCTCTCCTCCTTGCCCGTGGACACCAGATTTCCAACGTCCCCGAGGTTCCCCTAGTCATCGACTCCGCCACCTTCGAGGGTGGTGCTGCCGCCAAGACCGCCAACGCCTTCGCCATTCTGTCCGCCGCTGGTGCTTCTGCCGATATCATCAAGGCTAAGAAGTCAAAGAAGCTGCGGGCTGGTAAGGGTAAGATGCGCGGCCGCCGTCACCGCCAGAGACGTGGCCCTCTGGTCATCTACGACCCCGAGGTCGATGGCAAGGACCTGGTCAAGGGCACCCGCAACCTGCCCGGCGTCGAGACTTGCTCTGTCTACGCCCTGAACCTCCTCCAGCTGGCTCCCGGTGGTCACCTCGGCCGCTTCATTGTCTGGACCTCCGCTGCCTTCAAGGCTCTCGACAAGATCTACGGCACCACCACCACCCCCTCCGACCTGAAGAAGGACTTCCTGCTGCCTTCCAACGTCGTCTCGCAGTCCGATCTCAGCCGCCTGATCAACAGCTCCGAAATCCAGAGCGTCCTGCGTGCTCCCAAGGGAAGCTCGCTGACCAAGCGTTCCGGTATCCAGAAGAACCCTCTCCGCAACAAGCAGGTCATGCTGCGCTTCAACCCTTACCACTCTACGTTCGTCAAGAACGAGCTTGGTCAGCAGAAGAAGGAGGCCGGCAAGCCCCCTAAGACCCCTGAGGCTTTCCTCAGTGTCCTCAAGGAGGACTAAGTCAGACCAGCTTGGTGAGCAGCTTGTCAAACGGAAGGGGATAAGTGTGGATCGTTCGGATGTGATTGTCATGGGCGTAATGGGTTCATAGGGTCTCATGAATCAATTGACTTGTCATGAAGTGTCATCTCTTTTTCAAGCGTACATGTTGTCTTTTCTATGCTTCAAGGAGCCTACAGACGTGATAGAATCTGGCAATACAATTTGCACGATGCATGTCTGAAACACTAGACCTCGTTTTGACGTGAAAGTGCAACGGGAAACATGGATATGTCAACAAGTTTGAGCCAGCCTATATCGGTCTTCAATCCTGGTGTAGCCACACTTCCGGGTAGTCATGGGTGGTATACGCGAGTTGGAGCCCTAGGTAAGTAAGGGATAACGTATGGTGCAATCAGGTACCTATTCCGTCCTCAAGTCCAAGTTCTACCTAACAGCCCATCCAACCCATATTGGTCAACCCTTCCACTTCCCCTGCCTCGAACACGGCCGCTTCGTTTAGCAGGGCCTCAAGCTCTGCAACCTTTTTGATGCGCCAGAACTTCTGCACGCCCTGGCCAAAGCTCGTCGAGCAAGCGCCAATCTTTTCGTCCGTCTCGGCAGCAAAGCACAGGCGGTAGTAGGCCCATCCCCGGTCGGCCGCAATCCGCGGCGTCGCACTGAACAACATGCCGGGGCTGACCAGGACAAGATACGGCTTATGGGTCAAGAATATCATCAAGGCCGTGGAGAGTGCCGTACCATCGATCACATTTCCCTGAGAACCTGTCTTATTGAACAGGGGGTGCGCTTCGAAATGTATCTTGAGCCACAGGAACATGCCGCCGCGCGGCCAATCGAACTCATACAGCTTCGTCTTGGTGATGACGCCCCAATCCTCGTCGCCGTCGCGCGTGGGCGTAGACTGCTTTAACTGGTACGCGTGTTCCTCGAGAAGCCTGCACATCGTGTTCATGCGCCGCTCGTACTCGCCGCGCAGGCCCGCGAGCCATCGCACCCAGCCCTCCGTCTTCCATCCCGTGAAGGCGCGCTTTTCCGACCGCGGCCGCGAGGCGAAGAGGGAAGAGGTCCCTTCCGGCTGAGGTCCCATTATGCTCTCGGCCACGACGACCTGCACGAACCCAGAGGGCTGCTGGGTCCCCGTCTCGCCAACGCGGATGTAGCACTCGGCGATGGCGGGCGTCGTCGTCACCCAGCCCAGGCGGCATCCCGGAGCAATCGTCTTGGAGAAGGTGTCCAGCCGCACGACGCGGCCGTCGACGTCGATATTGAGGAATGAAGGTACCAGCGAATCTAAGAAGGGATGGCCCGACTTTTTCGGCAGGGTGTTTGCGACCTTGAACTCCGGGATGGGTTGATTCCTTGCCTTTGCTTCTTCGACCTCGGCCGACGGAAACTGCAGATACCAGTACGGATCGTCCTCGATAATGATCACGTCATACCGACTGCAGATATCGTAGAGCTCCCTCCTCCTGTCAAGCGAGAGAACGCCGCCGGTTGGATTATGACCCATTCTGGCACGAGGGGTTGAATGTTGTCAGCATACAAGACCT